ACCCTAAACCCTAAACCCTAAACCCTCACACTTCTGGTGGTATGCCACAACCCCCTTGGCAATGGCCTGGCGAATGGCGTAAACTTGCGAGACGAAACCGCCGCCCCGAACCCGCACGCGAATGTCAATGCCCTCGAAGCGGTTCTTGCCTGCCGCACAAACCCTAAACCCTAAACCCTAAACCCTAAACCCTAGCCGCAGGGCTCGCGCCGGCCCGCTGCTCCCCGCTCATCCCCCGCCAGCCCCCCCAACCGCCCCTCCAGAGCCCGACCCCCCCGCCAAACCCCAACCCCAAACCCCAAACCCCAAACCCCAAACCCCAAACCCTAAACCCTAAACCCTCACCGAGAACCAGGATGGACTCGCAGGCCTTGACCCGCAGGGCCTCGGGCTTCAACAAGTGCAGGGGGGCCCCATTGACCCTTATGAGGCCCTTGCCCTCCGTGCAGAGGGCCACAGCAACAGCAGTTTTCTTGCGGCCGAAGGTCTGCACCCTCCGGGTCCTCCGGGCCTCAGACATCTTCTGCAGCAGCAGCAGCAGCAGCAGCAGCAGCAGCAGCAGCAGCAGGTGTGGGGCCCCGGCGAAGAAAGAGGGAGGGCAGGCAAGAGCGAGCTGCAAGGGCTGGTTAGGTGCACTGCGATTCAGGTGTACAGCCGCCACACGGGCCATGCATGTGCAGCAGCCACAGCAGCAGCAGCAGCAGCAGCGGCAGCTGCAGCGGCGGCTGCTGCTGCAGCTGCTGCTGCCCTTGCTGTCTTAACGCATGTACTCGTGACAGAAAATACAGAAAGGAAAAAGAACACCACTGGTGAGGCTAGGCCACGAATCCGCAGTGCGGGGCGCAGCAGCAGCAGCAGCAGCAGCAGCAGCAGGCGGTACCTTGATCGAGTCTGGAGAAGGAGGCAAACAAAAAGACAAAAGAGGAGGGTTTCCTTCAAGTTACGAGTTTAATGGCGCCGTGGCGCGTTTGCTGCTGCTGCTGCTGCTGTGAAGGCCGCAGCAGCCCTGCAGCAGCCGCGGCTGCTGCTGCAGCGGCTGCTGTGGGGAAGAAGTACAGCAGCCGCAGCAGCAGCAGCAGCTGCTGCTGCATGCTGCTGCGAACCATCTCGGGAGTTCTTGTTTTCTCTTCTTTGGACCTTTTGTGGCTGCTGACCCTGAGCTTGCTGCTGCTTCCCCCAGGTACGGCTATCGCTGCTGCTGCTGTCCGCTGCAGCGGAGCTGCTGCTGCTGCTGCTGCTGCTGCTAGCACGGCCCCGCAGCAGCAGCAGCTTCCTGCTGCTGCTGTTTAAAGTTCCTAAGTCTCTTTTTTGTTCAATTTGAACTTTTCGTTTTGCCCATTTACCCCCCACGGCTCTAGGCCTCCCGTGTGGCCCCTGGCGCTCTCCCCGCCTGTCCGCAGGGTTTAGGGTTTAGGGTTTAGGGTTTAGGGTTTGTGGCTGTAGAGCCCCCTGTGTTTCCCTGTTGCCCCGCACCTCAGCGCACAGCGCCGCGCTGCCGCCGCCGCGGCTCGCGCGCCAGCCCAGGGCCCGGGCTGGTCCAGGGCTTGGGGTTTAGGGTTTAGGGTTTAGGGTTTAGGGTTTAGGGTTTAGGGTTTCGCAGGCGAAGATGGTGAGCCGCTCTGCGCAGCTGCCCAACGTCCACCTCCGCAAGGAGTGGCAGCGCTTCGTCCGCACCTGGTTTGACCAGCCGGCGCGGAAGCAGCGCCGCAGACTGCAGCGCCAAAAAAAAGCTGCCAAACTCGGAGTCCGGTCAGCTGCTGCTGCTGCTGCTGCTGCTGCTGCTGCTGCTGCTGCTGCTGGGGGGCGGGCTGCTGCTCGCGGGGCGCTGGGCCGCTGGGCGGGCGGCTGCGCGTTGGGCCGCCTTTGCTGCTCGCGGGCTCTGCTGCTGCTGCTGCTTGTGCCGCTGCTGCTTGGGCTGCTGCTGCTGCTTGTGCCGCTGCTGCTTGGGCTGCTGCTGCTTGGGCTGCTGCTGCTGCTGCGGCATGTACGCGGGAGGCGGAGGGGTCACTTGTGGAGTGTGCGCGGACCTCTCGCGCAATCAGACGCGGCTGAGGGTCCATTGCTGCTGCTGCTGCTGCTGCTGCTGCTGCTGCTGCTGCAGACCGTTGGGCCTGCTGCGGCCAGCTGTCCGCTGCCCCACGCAGAAGTACAACATCAAGCTGCGGGAAGGGCGCGGCTTCACCCTGGAGGAGCTGAAGGTGAGCCCTGACTGCTGCTGCTGCTGCTGCTGCTGCTGCTGCTGCACCCGGCCAGCTAGCCTGCTGGGGCTTTGCTGCAGGCCGTGGGCATTTCCCCCCGAGTGGCCTTGTCCATTGGTATTTCTGTGGACCACCGCCGCCGCAACAGATGCCAAGAGTCTCTCAACACAAATGTCAACCGCCTCAAACTTTACCTCAGCAAACTCGTACTCTTCCAGGTCCGTCCCTTGCTGCTGCTGCTCTTCCTGCTGCTGCTGCAGCAGGTTCTCGTCGCGCTGCTGCGGCTGCTTCTCTCCGTGCGGCTGCAACTGTAGCTCTTCTGCCGTTCCTGCCGCCACAGTTGCTGCATTCCTTAGTGCTGCTGCCCCTGCTGCTGCTGCCCCTGCTGCTGCTTCGATTAGCATTGTTTGTTTAATGGCTTTTTGCGAAAGGTTTCCTTTTGCTGCAGCGCGGGTCTAAGGCGAAGAAGGGTTTGGCTGGCGTGCCTGCGGACACCCCGAAGTCGCAACTTCAAAACGTGAAACAGGCGAAAATTGCGGATTCGCTGCCGATCGAGAGGCCCCGGAAGAAGATCCGCGTGAGTTTTTCGAAAATGGAACAAATAAAACAATAAATTTGCAAATTAATCGGGAAAAAACGAACAAAAATGAGTTAATTGAAGAAGATCGGACGCTCGCGTCGTTCCGGCGGCGCCGCCAGAGGTGCCTGTACACCCCAACTCTTCAGGTGTACAGGCACCTCAACAGCTGCAGCGAGGCAGAAGGGCTTTTGATGATCACTTCTAAATCGCAGCCTCAAAGGGCAATGGCGTTTTCGAAATCTGCAATGCTGATGCCCCTCCTGCGCTGGCCGAGCTAGGGTTTAGGGTTTGCGAGAGCTAGGGTTTGCGGGAGCTGGGGTTTGCGAGGGTTTGGGTTTTGCTGCTGCTTCTGAGGGTTTGCAGGCCAGGGTGATAACGGAGGAGGAGAGGAAGTTCCGCGCCTATGCCACTCTCAGGAAGCAGCTCAGAGACGCGAAGAACGTGAGGGTTTAGGGTTTGAAGCCGAGGGTTTAGGGTTTAGGGTCTGTACAAGTTCTGGAGATGGGTGCGGGGTGGAGGCTGCCGAGCGTTTGTCTAGGGTTTAGTTGGGGTTGCAATGAAGGATTTATTCAGGGTTTAGGGTTTCGGGTTTAGGCGTTGTCTAGGATTTAGGGTTTGGGGTTTAGGGTTTAGGGTTTGCGCATGTGCTTTTTAGGTTGGCAAGCACGCCAAGAAGCTCGCAGAGGAGGCCGAGGCAGCAAACAAGTAAATAAACCCTTGGGCGTTCTTCTTGCTGCAGCGCTGCTGCAGCAAGCTGCTGCAGCCTTGCTGCAGCAAGCTGCTGCAGCAGCAACCCCACCAAAACACCACCCCTGCAGCTCCTGGCGCCCGCCCATCTGCACTGTGGGCGGGTTGCGGAACCCCCCGGGGGGCCCCCAGGGGCCCCTCTGGGGGCCCCCTGGGGGCCCCCAGGGAGAGGCCCCCCGGGGGGCCCCCACTTTTGTTCTTTTTGTGCAAGGGACAGCTTTGAATATATGGGTTTGGATGGGTCTTCAAAGTTTGCATGCGGGCTGCTGAGGTGTACGTACACCGTAGAGTTCAGCAGTTGGGGTGTACAGACAGCGGCAGCAGTAGCAGCAAAAAGCTGCTAATTAATTTGACCCCACAAATATATATATAGCGGAGAGACAAGTAAATTTATTGGGAGATGGAGGAGTTTATGCAGAGAGGAACAGAGCTGAAGCAGCAGCTGAAGGATTAGTGCAGCAGCGCTGCTGCTGCAGCTCTTTTGCTGCAGCTCGTGGCGCTGCAGAGTGCCAGCCTGTTGGGTCAGTTGGTTTTGCTGCAGCAGGGGGGGCCTGGGCAGCCGCAGCAAGCGGAAATAACTGGCAAAGAGCTTTAAATGTAGAATTAGAATTAAAATAAAATATAACAAATTAAAAATTAAAGCAAAGTGCAGCAAATTGAATGGCGTTTACCTGGAGCTGCTGCTGCTGCTGCAAGCCCTGGGCGTGGTGGGCGGGGGGCGGGGGTCAGGCGGGAGAAATGGGTTGTCTTTTGGAGTTTTTTAAAGCTCTAAGCTTCGAAAAAGAGTTTTTTGTTTTTAATTTTTCAAATTAAACAATTAAATCTGTTATTTAATGGCATTAAACGCAGCGGCGGCCCGCGGACGAGGGTCCGGCTGGAGTGGTCTACGGGCCGTTGGCTGCTGGGCTCGCTGCAGCCGGCGCGGCGCGGCGCCGCTGAAGCTTCCTCGAGAACAGCCTGCAGTTTAATTTTTCAATTAATTTGTTAAACTGTTTATTTATTTTGATTTATTTTGATTTATTTTCATTTCTTTATTTGCAAACGCAGAAGCAGTGGCGCGGGTCCTGCAGCAGGCCCCCAGCAGCGCCGACACTCATCGACAGCAGGGGCCCCTGCTGGGCCACCGGCATCCCACGGACAGCAGCGCGGCTGCTGCTTGCTGCTGCTCTTTGCTGCGCAGCAGCAGCAAAAGACTTCCAAAGCTCTTTAAAGAAGCAGCATTGGAGTCTTATAATACTTCTGGCCCGCGGAGTTCCCCCAAACTTCAGTCTACGGCGCCCCAGTAGCAGCAGCGGTCTGCCAAGCCGCAGCCGCCGCAGGGCCACCGCCGCAGGCCTCCCAACCCTCTCAAGGACCACTGGTCACTCCCGTGCACTCCAGTGGCCTCCTGCTGCTGCGACTCCCAGCAGCAGCAGCAGCAGCAGCAGCAGCAGCAGCAGCGCTCGTGCTGCGGCGACGGGGCGGAGTCCCGCTGCACACTGACCGGCCCCCCCTGCTGCCCCCATGCCTCTTCAACTCTTCTTTTTGCTGCCAATTTAAACTCCAAACTCATCTCTTTCTTAATCAATTAAAAGTACCTTTTGGGGGGCCCCCTGGCCCGGGGCCGACTGGAGCGCCCGGTACCCTGGGGGCCCCCGGGGGCCCCGCCATGGCCTACGCTGCGGCCCTGGGGGGCCCCCTGGGGGCCCCCGAAGCCGCGTTTGACGCAGCAGGGGCCCTGGGGGGCCCCCTGG